GTGCCTCGAAGGTCAGAAATCCGGCTATGGGACGGACGCCACCCTCCAACACCTTCTCCGCATCCAAAAGCAGATCGTCGGTCGGCTCCGGTGACTCAATCTTTGGGGGATACCCATTCCACCGGAGAGGGAGAGGAGGCCCGTCGTATCGAAGGAAGAAGAAGCGGTTCTTCCAGTCGTGGATGGACGAGGGGTAGTTCTTGAACAGCCGCCTCCCAGGACGTGCGGCCACGCTCAGATACCCGTCGGCATTCTGAGGAGTGACGCGGTAGAAATAATGGAAGAGCTCCAAAGTGGCATCGACCCCCGCAAGTTTGCAGCGCACCAAGAAGGCCGATATGAATCTGTAAGAATTTGGCATGAATTGCGCCGGAGCCACCTGGAAGCAGTGGAAGAACTCCACATAAAACGCATGAAGTGGAAACCGCAGCCCGGCTTCAACGGAATCCAGGTGGAGCATGATCATCCCCGGACGTCTCCTCATCACATGCTCAGCGCCTCTCACACTCCAGACGAACGGCGGAGGAAGGAAGGTGCGGATTTTATTGAGGGCCACACGGGAGAGGACTTGGTCGTGGTCAAGGGCGCTCCTAATCGGGCAGATGTGACGCTCCATATCCGTGGGGATGCCCAGATCATACACCTCCATATCAGAACCGGATTCGGCTTCCTCTCCAGAATCATAATCAGCAGGACGCTCATTCAGGGGGACCGCATCAATAACGTCCACTGCCTCATCGGCATCCCCACCCCTGGCGTCGCTCCCACTATCTTGAGACACATCATCCGGCTCGCCATCAGCCCGGATGGTCCCCACCGTCGTGGCCGAACCAGAGGTTCCGGAAACACTAGTTTTTCCCAGGGAGCGTGCATTCGCATTTTCAGAAGAGGAGCCCGAGGAGGAACCCGATGAACTGGAATCAGAACTTGAGGAAATCTCCATCGAAGTCATTCCGACTAGAAATCAGGGTAAAGAAAAGAAGCAGAGGGGGGAAATTACCTTACAAAAGGGTTAGCCGAATTCAGGAGACTTGAGGAGCTGCGAAAAATCGAGAGCAAGAAAGCAGAAATTGGGAACCCTAATTCAGAGGGAGAAACCGGCATTTATAGGAGAAACACCGGTGGGGAAACCAACGAGGGGCTGACACGTGGCAAGGAGCGTATTCCGGCCCACGCGCTGTGCGTGGGATGGGAACGTAATGATGACACTTCCTCGGGAAAATGCACCGCCGCAACATCAGCCGTCACCTCGTTTCCTGAACCGTCAACAGCTGTCAAGCACCATGACCACGAGCGTACGTTTCCACCAGATGCAATAAACATAAGTACCAAGATACGGACGTCTACTTCGGGGAGGTTCATACTTCCTTATGTCCTGCGCATGCTCAGAACATCAGAAGTGGGGGACTTGTGTTGGGTTAAGGGCCCAAGCCGAGGTCCGGCCCACTAACCCATTTTGCCAGACGAACGTCCAATTAGAACACTAGGCCAGCCCACAGGCCCATGTTCCTTGAGGATGGACGAACGTCTGGTGTTGGAGGACTCAGGCCCAGCAGCTCATTCCGACGAACGTCTATGCAGGGACAAGGAGCAGAGCCACGGGCCACCAGGGATGGCGACGAACGTCCCCAGAGCAAGCCTGTAGTCATCGGAGAAAACCCAGTGCACATGGTGAGTATCTATCAAGGCCAGGAGACGAACAGCCAATATCCCTCAAGGGTCACTTGGAGCAATCCAACTCACTTCCCGGGTGGACGAACGTCCCCACTGATCCGGCGGGAAACCTAGATTCTGGCGGGAAGTGCATTTAATGCTAAAGATTTGGTAGTTGGGACACCAGCGGTCCACAGGCTGCCACGTCAGTACAGCCACCTGCCCATTGGCGGGTATAAATAGAAGCATTTATTTCATTGTAAAGGGTTGGCAACTTTCTATTCTTAGCATACTAGCTTCAGCATTCTTACTCGCAGCATTTCTAACTGCCTTGTAAGACGAACGGCCGACGTGCCTTTTTTAGCAAGTAGATTGTACTTAGGGGAGTTATTACGAAGTTAATAATACCTATTTACATTGCCTGCTATTACTCTTGTTTCCTGATCCATCTGATAGTTGTTGGGCTAGACATTCATACACTCACTCCACTCGAAACCTTTGGGCTTACGTGTTGGGTCCAAGGGTTGAAGGAATAAACCTCAACACTACTTATATCTCTTAATACATACATACATACTATATCTACTTAATATATACTTTATATAATAAAGTATTAAATATACTTTATAAACTATTACTATATACTTAATACATAATAATATCTACTTCTCTACTTATATTTTATATATACTTATTTTCCAATCTCCAATTCTCTATTATACTCTAATATTTAATTCTTATACAATTATTATATCCACTTAATACATACATTCTACATCTACTTAATATATATTTTATATATTAAAGTATAAAATATAAGTGTATTACTCATCTTATAGTAGTATACTTATATATTATATAATATAAACATTATATTATATATTACTTACTATAACTAGTATTATACTAGTTAATTAGTTAATTAGCATTCTTGTTACATTTTTCATTATACTAGTTAATTAGTTCATTACCATTATTGTAACATTTTTCATTATACTAGTTAATTAGTTAATTAGCATTCTTGTTACATTTTTCATTATACTAGTTAATTAGTTCATTACCATTATTGTAACATTTTTCATTATACTAGTTAATTAGCATTCTTGTTACATTTTTCATTATACTAGTTAATTAGTTAATTAGCATTCTTGTTACATTTTTCATTATACTAGTTAATTAGTTCATTACCATTATTGTAACATTTTTCATTATACTAGTTAATTAGTTAATTAGCATTCTTGTTACATTTTTCATTATACTAGTTAATTAGTTCATTACCATTATTGTAACATTTTTCATTATACTAGTTAATTAGTTAATTAGCATTCTTGTTACATTTTTCATTATACTAGTTAATTAGTTAATTAGCATTCTTGTTACATTTTTCATTATACTAGTTAATTAGTTCATTACCATTATTGTAACATTTTTCATTATACTAGTTAATTAGTTAATTAGCATTCTTGTTACATTTTTCATTATACTAGTTAAATAGTTCATTACCATTATTGTAACATTTTTCACTATACTAGTTAATTAGCATTGTTGTTACATTTTTACTTGTACTAGTTATTTACTTCAAAAGTTGCTATAATTTTACTTGTACTAGTTAATATTTGTTACATTTTTTAGATGGAAGGTGGTAGATATTCGATTGATTTGGGTAACCTCCAACGCAATCGAAGAAACGAGATTGGGAGGAAGAAATCCCGCAAAGGTAAAGAACTTGCCGGGTCTTCATCTCAAAGCCGAGATGATTTTGAAACGGGTTACCAAAGGCGAGATGGAGATGCGATGTCCGAAGAACAACTCCAACAAGAATTGGCCCGACATAATAACCGCTTTCTACAACAACAACAAATGCCGACGACCATTGACGAAGAGGAGCTTGAGGATGAAGATGCGGAGGAATTGGAACCGGAGACGGCCGAGGAGGAGGGTGCCGGCAGCCACGACGCCGACGCGCCTGCCTCATCCCAAACCGCCACCGGTAATAAAAAAAGTAAGTCTGAACTAATGAAAAATAATTTTGATAAATGGAAGGACCCACAAACCGGCTATTGGCACGCAACTTGCAAGTGGTGCAACAACAATTATAGTTGTAAACTACAATTGGAAGGACCCACAAACCGGCTATAGTTGCAAATTTATTTATACTTGTACTTCATATTTCAAAATTGTAAACTTGTACTTCATATTTCAAAATTGTAAATTTGTAGTTGTAGTTCAAATTAATTTGTAAACTTGTACTTCATATTTCAAATAAATATGTGTTCACTTTTTCATATGTAGCACTTCTCAAATTAATTAATTGGTTACAATCTAACGACTTAAAATTATTTTTCTAAAATATAAAGCCGGTTTTTAAATTAAAAATACATTTAGAATATGTAATTTGTTTAAATACTTATACACCTATTTTGTAACATTTGTAAATTATAAATCAAACCACTTTTCTAAGTACAAATAGTTTTAGTTTTACTTAATTCATTAAATTAATTAATTTATTTTACAATATGTGTATAACTTAAAAAAAAAAAATCAAAGCTCCCAAACGGCTATATAGCCGTTGGGGCTATGGGTGGGGGGCAGGGGGTCCCGGGGGTGGTGGTGTGGGGAGTGAGGTTCAAAAACATCTATAAATACATCTATTTTCTAACATTTTTCTACACCTTTTCTCCAATTCTTCTCAAACTCTTCTCCATCTTCATCTTCTCTTATTATCCTACATTCCTACTTATACATATACCATTTTAAATATGGAAAGTACATCTTCCCTTATGCAAAACAATTTTGACAAGTGGAAGGACCCGAAGACCGGACTGTGGTGGGCAACTTGCAGGTGGTGCAAGAAAGACTGTTGCTTGGGGCGTTCATACGGATACGGGATGCCAATAAAACATATGAAGTCCTATGACAAAGGGAAAACAACAACCAACGGTGGCGGAAAATCCCAATTGATATTCATTACAAAATGTATTTCGTATTGTTATTTTTTTTCTCAATTCTCAAATGTAGTTCTTATTTCAAATAAATGCACTTGAACTTTGTTTTTAATAGCAATTTGTATAATATATAATTAATAAAAAAAAAATTGTACTGGCCCGGCCCGGCCCGGCGGGTGGCCCGAACCGTGACCCGGGCGGGTGACCCGGCCCGAACCGGAACCGGTCATTGACCGGGCCGGTCCCGGGCCTACCGTTATAGGACCCGAGGCCCGACCGGGCCTTGACCCGGCCCGGGCCCGACCCGGCCCGGGTCCATCACTATTCAGAAATGCAATCCAGTTAAATTGTTAATGCGGCTTCGTAAGTATCGTGTGAGCTACTTTCTATGATGGTATGCGTAGTAAGTTCAATTTCGAAAGAGGGTGCGTCTGTAGAAAAAAATGGTGCGCTAAGAAGATCCTAATCCAAATTCTGTTTTTGCTTTGGGACTGATGGCAGCCCATTTCTTCGAAGAATCAACGCGGAGAGAGAGAGACAGAGTGAGTTGAAGGTCAAAGTTTTAAAAGTGTTCGCAACGGCACATGCCAGCAAGAGCCGTTCACGAAACGCCAAAGAGACAGAGTGTATTGTCGGTTAAGTAAGTCGAGGCCGATAAATTTGAAAAAGAGGTAGAAACATGAATCTTGAATTCACATTGATTCACAGCCCAATTCTGAATTCAGGGTTTTGAAGATCCACAGCTTTTTATTGCATTCTAAGGTGCATTTTTTACTGTTCTATATATTTAGCTATCCATCTTATATTCTCTTACATGTAATCTCTATGTTGATGCGTTGTTTGATTCATGAATTCTTGCTGTTGATGTGATCGCGAGTCATATTCATTGTTTGGTTTGTCATTATTTCCTTTATAATGCCTATTTTGATTTCTTCGTTTTCTTCTTTTTCTTCATGTTAATATTGATTCAGGTGAATTACCCTTCTTGAAATTCAGACGTATTTGTAATTTTGTATTTTTTCCGGAGTTGTTAGAGAAACGTTGGCATCTGATTGGGGTGAAAAAGTTTCCGTAGTTTCTGTATTGTCAATGAAGTCCCTAAATAAGAGTAAAAACGTTTTGAAATTCCAAAATAGGAGTATCATGTTTTTATTCCCTAAATAAGAGTAAATAAAACGTTGTGATCTGCAAGCCGCTGTTAGTGGGCAAATCCTATCAAAATAAGATTACCAGTCAATTAGTTGTGATTGATCGAATCCTTTCAAGACTTTTCCGGTTAATTTGGAGTATTTCTCGGTTTCTTCCATCATCTTCTAGAATTTGGCAGCAAATCATTGTTGATTTCTTCCTTTAATTGTATACTTGGATCTATATTCCCCCCTTTCTCAGTTTCTGCTTCATCTTCTTCTTTTCTTTCCTCCCACATGTGCTAATGAATTAGAGGTTAGATATTTATTTTAAAATTAGCTTGATAACCTTTTACTTAAAGATGGGAATAATTGGACATCAGGTATTTTCTAGATCAGTGTGTATTTTTTCTAGAAAAAACTTACCATATGGTTTGATTTATTGTGTGGTTTGACACATTGGAATTTTTGATGTATTGATGCGTTTTTACTTCAATATACTACCTATATTTATGTCCTTTAGTTTGGAATTTTGGGAACTTTTCAATATATTTCTACATTTCCTTTATTGCAGGCTTGCAGCTCATTTTTGGTGATCTTGGCACAAGACTAGATTGATGTGCAATGCATAGATTTTGTAATGATCTTCAGCCAAGGTCTTTGGAGAAAGCATTCTGTGGAAAATATACTTCATCAAGGATTTCTCTTCTGACTCTTCTGGCTCTTCTACTGTGGGTACTTGTCTTCGTTTTAAATTTGTGCATTAGCCATGGAGACATGGATAAAGGTTGGTTTCCCTACCATAATGTCAGATTCTTAGAACTTCACATTTTATTTCTCCATGTTTTTTATGATTGACATAGATGAAACACAAAAAGAACATTATGATTCATCAACATTATTTAAAACATAACAAGTATATCCCACTCAGAGTTCGGAAGTAGGGTTTGTGGAGGGTGAGATGGACGCAGTCGTTACCTCTTCTCCTAGGAGTAGAGAGAATGTTAGACTTACTGTGAAAGAACCCCAGCAATGAAAAAGGGAAGGTTAGGAGGTTTATAAAAAATTGAAAGTTTTTGTAAAACAACTGACGCGGATAAAAAGGCATCCAAAGTGAAATGCAGTATGAAATGCCATATTAAAAAATGTCTGGGGAAGCAATAAATATAGCTCCAAATAGAGAATACAGTTGTATGTAAGTTGGTAACACAATATCTTCCTCATTTCACTTGAGATTGGTTTATGTAGCTCTATGCCCATAATGTCTTTTAATTAGTTCTTGTTTGCATCTATCTTTGGTGGAATCAGATCCAGGATCTGGGGAGCATCAGTTTGGTAGTACTCAATATGCGGGCGAAGATAAACTTGTGTATGGAAGAGGAAGCCATTCTGCTTCATCTGCAGATCAAAATCCCTCAGAGGGGATCCTTGATTCTGAAGAGTTGATCAGTGTATCGTTTGAACAAACCGATGACACCCCAAGTGAACAAACCGATGACACCCCCAGTGAATCAGAGAACACAAAGTCAGACAAGGGGAAATCAGAAGTAATAACTAATCTAGAAAAGGAATTCAAGTCTGATAGGTTTTCTCAGTCAATCACTCTGAGTCTTGATGAGTTCCGAAACAAAGCAGTCAATACAAAAATACGAGATCTAAATGATCAGACCGGAAGTGTCACACATAGAGTGGAACCGGGAGGAGCAGAGTACAACTATGCTTCTGCTTCCAAAGGGGCTAAGGTCTTAGCTCACAACAAGGAAGTCAAAGGTGCTTCCAATATCTTGAGCAGAGATAAGGACAAGTATCTTAGAAACCCTTGTTCTGTTGATGATAAGTATGTTGTGATAGAACTATCAGAAGAAACTTTAGTAGATACGATTGAGATCGGCAATTTCGAACACTACTCTTCCAATCCAAAGGATTTTGAACTTCTTGGTAGTCCTATTTATCCAACTGATGCATGGATCAGTCTCGGCAATTTTACTGCTGGAAATGTCAAACATGCTCAAAGGTTTGTACTTGCAGAACCAAAATGGGTGAGATATGTGAGACTGAATCTTCTTGGTCATTACGGATCAGAGTTCTACTGTACGTTAAGTGTCCTGGAAGTGTATGGAGTTGATGCTGTGGAGAAGATGCTGGATGATCTTATTTCTGTTCCAGAGAAGAAGTTTGTTTCTGATCAAACAAACAATGAGCAGAAACCTATGCTTGAAGACAGTCATTTAGAAATTGACACTGAACTTGAAAACAACTCTGATACTGTCAAGCCTATGGCGATTACGGCTGTAAATGTGCCTGATCCTGTTGAGGAGAATCGCCATCCACAACTAAACAGGATGCCTGGCGATAGTGTTCTGAAAATCCTAATGAAGAAAATTCAATCTCTTGATATAAACTTATCTGTCCTTGAGCGGTATCTAGAAGAACTGAATTCTCGATATGGAAAGACTGTTGCCATATTTGACAAAGATTTATTACAGAAAGAAGCCCTTCTCGAGAAGATCATATCAGACATTAAGAGTTTTTCCAAGAACCATGATGCTGTGGTACGTGTCAAATTCCTTACATGATGATAGCTGATAAGCTCTCTCCCCCGTAATTCTTTTATAGTAAAACTGTAAAAAGGTTTGCACCTGGTGGTTTAGTCAGAAATGTCATATTAAGTGGGCTTGAGCTTAAAAATCTATGGAGGGGCAAAGCTTCACATTCGTACATACTATTTTATATAGTTAATATAATAAATAATTGCACAGACACAATGAAATTCTTTGGGGAGGCTGCAACCCCCTAGAGCCCCTCGTCCCCACCGCTGTTTCTCCGAACACAAGGGCCCTTCCCTTGCACATAGAATAGTGGTAGATGAGTTAAACTGTGAGACATAATTCGATATGTGTCTCTTTGTCCTTGCTTGTACCCCTGCCTGCAATGGATTCAATTAAATTGGAGTTTGCACGCTGGACGGGAGTGCACGCTACTCTAGTAGGACATGAACTTGGGTTGCTTAGGGAAAAGGGGGAGGGGGATCCGCCAAGCAAAACTTGCTAGCGCTCTAAGCATTTTCCTATTGTTAGTGCCTCAATGGAGACGTTGTCATGTAGTGTGTGATTCAGTTAAAGCCTTTTCTTTCTGTTGCAGAGTAAGGAGGTGAATGATCTGTTGTCATGGAAGTCCATTGTTTCCATTCAGCTGGAAAAGATAATGATGGACAATACTAATCTCAGGTTTGGGGTTTCCTTCTTTTATTATTTTATTGCTTATAGTCTGAATGTATTGGCTAGTCTGAGTAACCCACCCTTCTTACTTAATGTGCGTGCTAAAAATGCCAGGTTGAAGGTGGAAGAGGTTCACCAGAGACAAGTGTATATGGAAAGTAAAGGCATTTTTATTTTTCTAATTTGTTTAATGTTTGGGTTCATAGCAGTTTTGAGGATCATTATAGATTTTATTTTGAGCATTTATAGACCTGAGAGCTCCAGGAATTTTTTTAATAAAGACCATTCCTGGATTTTTTTGTTACTCAGCTGTACCATCACTATTATCATCCTATCCTTATAGATTATAATTTAATTAATTATTTCTTTTAGCGTTCTTGTTATGAAGATTTTCATTAAAAGAACTCTACCTCATCTCAAATTAATACTACAACAACAACAACATCCAATCCCAAAAGATTTTGGGGTCAACTAACATGAATCGATCTATGATATCGATATCAAAGAGAGAAGACTGACAAAAAAAAGATAAAACGAATAAGATAAAGATAAATAAATATACGATAACAATAACATAAGGGATTATAAGAAAGATAAAAGATAAAAAGATAAAAGAGCATAAAAAACTAGAAGATAAAAATAGCATAAGAACATAAAAAGATAAAGAAAATAAAAGGTCAAAGAAAAAGAGAGATGAAAGATAGAAAAGAGATCAATCGCCCACACGAATGTGAGCCCTCCACTTTGCCCTCTCCAAAATCGTACTCTCATCCAACCCAAGAAGACGCATATCGGTTCTGATTCCTCTAATCCAAGTCTGTTTGGGTCTTCCCCTTTCTCTTCTCTTTGTCTCTTCTCCCCACCCCTCAAATCGTCTAACGGGTGCATCACTCGATCTTCTACGCACATGTCCAAACCACCGCAAACGAGACTCCTGCATCTTATTTTCTATAGGTGTTACTCTCACCTTATTTTCTATAGGTGTTACTATCACCTTTTGTCTGGTTATCTCATTCGTCAAGCAGTCTTTTCTGGTATGTCCACACATCCAACGCAACATACGCATCTCTGCCACACTCATCTTTTGAATGTGACATTGTTTCACCGCCTAACATTCTACGCCATACATTAATGTAGGCCTAATTGCGGTTCGATTAAATTTACCTTTCAGTCTAGTCGGCATACCTTGCTCGCATAGAAATCCTGATGCACTCTTCCATTTCATCCACTCAGCTTTGATTCTATGGGATACATCTTCATCCAATTCACAATCCTTCGAAATTATGGAACCCAAGTAACGAAACATATCGCACACCGTTATCTCCTTACTATCAAGAGTAATCCCACTGTTGCTACTACTTATTCCTCCACCAAACTTGCACTCCATATACTCAGTCTTGCCTCGGCTCAGTCTAAAACCCTTGGTTTCCAATGTTTTGTCGTCATACTTCCAATTTTGCTTTAATACCTGATTATGTCTCATCAATCAATACAATATCATCGGCAAATATCATGCACTATGGTATATCTTCTTGAATTGACTTCGTAAGTTCATCCATGACTATAACAAATAAGAAAGGACTCAGAGCCGATCCTTGGTACACTCCGATAGTAGTAGGGAACTTTGCGGTCCTCCCTACACTAGTACGGACACTAGTAGTACAAGCCTCATACATATCCATGATGATACTAATATACTTATGTGATATGCCTTTTTTAGTTAAGGCCCACCAAAGGACTTCTCGGGTACCCTATCATATGTCTTTTCTAAGTCAATGAACACCAAATGCAAATCCTTTTTAGCGTCTCTATACTTCTCCACAACTTATCTAAGAAGGTGAATGACATCAGTTGTTGAGCGTCCAGGCATAAAACCCCAAACTTATTCTCCGAAATTTTCACATTTTTCGAAATCTTTGTTCAACCCCTCGCTCCCAAAATTTTATGATGTGACTCATAAGCTTAATCTCTCGATAGTTGGCACATTCTTGTATATCACCCTTCTTTATAAATAGGGGAATAAGAGTACTCTTCTGTCAACTCACTGACATTTTGTTGTTTCTCCAAAACATGTTGAAGAAACGTGTTAGCCACTCAATGTCTCTCTCTCCCAAACTTCTCCAAGCTTCGATCAGTATGCCATCTGGGCCCACTGCTTTCTTCTGCCCCGTCTTTCTCATAGCCTCTTTAACTTTTATTATTTGGATCTTTCTCACGAAGTCCCGATTTACCATACATTCAGGTATAGTAAGATCATCAATACATTGCACTTTATTCCCGTTGAACAAGGTGTCAAAGTATGACATCCACCTCTCTTTTATTTCCTCGTCCTCCATTAGTACCCTTTGATCGACATCCTTCACACACTTAACTTTTCTGATATCTTGAGTCCTACGGTCACGAAAGCGAGCAAGTCTGTAAATATATTTTTCTCCTTCCTTAGAGTCCAATTTTACATACAATTCCTTGTTCATTTTTTCTCTTGCTTCCTTTACAGCTTTCTTTGCTTTCTTCAAGCCTCCGTGTACTCCTCTATGTTCTCGTCGCTCCAACTTTTTCCCAATTTCTTATAACATTCCCTTTTGGTCCTTATTGTTTGTTTCACCTCATCATTGCACCAAGATGTGTCCTTTTTTCGTGGCACCCATCCTTTAGATTTCCAAATATCTCCTTCGCCACTTTGTTAATGGTGAACTCCATTGATAACCATATATCATTCACATGTGTATCATTATCAATGGACCATACATCTTTCTCCAACATTTTCTGTGCAAAGGTTTGTTGGAGATTCCCCTCGAGCCTCCACCACTTTACCTTTGGCTCCCCGTGCACCTTAATGTGCCTTCTCTTTTTACCTTGAAAATCAAGAACAAACATCATATGTTGAGTAACAACACTCTCACCTGGGATAACCTTAGAATCACTGTAGCTAGTTCTCCAAGTCATCCGTACTAAAAAGTAGTCAATTTGGGTGCTATTAGCTCCATGGGCGGAGCCAGAAAAATGACTCAGCGGGGTCGAAATCAAATTTACATAGAATGAAAACGGTAGATTATTTTTAGACAATACCTGAATTGAATGTAGCTTAGATAAATGATAGTTTAAATGAAACTAATAGAGTATATATAGTTAATATACTTCGTATATGTCACATATATTATAAACTTGTTTTATACGGGTTAAGTTGAGTACCTCGGATGAGACCCATTGTCTTACCCTAGTACTCTATGGTTCTCTTCGATCTTACTCGGTTTAGTATCAAGATTTCTTACTAGAAAAGAATCATTTATTGAGTAGGCACTCATAGCAGTAAGATATGTTGTCTTTGCTCTGTCCCTAAGTCATGTCACGTAAGTAACGAGTGAATTACACGCTATTTTGTGAATATAATTAATATTACGCATCACAATTTTACTAATTTCAAACTTAAATAGTGCTGATTTTGCAGAAGTCATAACTTTTTACTCGTAATGAGTTACGAGAGCCATAATATATCAAATCGAAGATAATTCAGTGCTCTACACTCCTAAATTTTCAGCGGGGTCGGCTGACCACCCTGACCCCCCAGCAGCTCCGCCCCTGATTAGCTCCATTTCTATAGGTCACAAGGTGAGAATCTCTTTTCTTAAACCAAATGTTCATCACAACCAACTCATATATTGAGACAAAATCCAGAATGTTCTTCCCGTTTCATTTCTAGTGCCAAAACCATGTCCTTCATGGATACTCTCAAAAACCATCATGTTCCTATAAACATTGGGTCCACATGCCCGATGAGACTGCCTCCTATAAACAGTTTTTCTCCCCTTGGCACTCGTCGCACCACTTCCTCAAGATTCTCCCAAAATTGTTGAGTGATAATCCCACTTGTAATGAATAGGCACTTATCAAGGACACGATCTCATCTCTTACTATCAACTTAATGCTCATGATGTTGTTATTCTTCCTGAAGACTTCCACCACATCCTCAACATAATCATGTGTCACCATAATGCTTACTCCAATTTTGTTCCTTTCTTTCCCTGAATACCACAACTTAAAACCTCTGGGTTAAATCTCATGTGCCTTTTCTCAAACCCACTAATTAGTTTCTTGCATTCACATTATGCTGATAACCTCATCTATTTCAGACGATCTTCCCGTAAGAGAGCCAACATTCCATGTCCCAAAACGCAATCTAGCACCCTACCTTTTCTTCTTCACACCACATCGACCCCCACCACGCCCTTGCATATTTGACACCATCCCGGTCATTGGAGTGGCGCGTCGCTTCCGGGCGACGACCTAGCAGCCTTAGCATTCTTATCACCACACCCAGACCTATAAGATGTAGCGCGCCCTTCCATATTTGACACCACCACCAGGCGGAGGGATGACGCGTCGCTTACGGGTGACGACCTAGCTGTAGCGATATTCATATTTCGATTAAAAAAAATTAGCGAGAAATTTTATTGGGGGTTTTTATTAAAAATAATATAAAAAATATGATTACTTTTTAAATTATCCAAAAAAGCTACTCCATAATAAGCTATATTATTTTTGTACAATCTCTAGAAATGAGATTAGCAGTGTCCAAATTTCAAATTTTCTAATATTTGTGGTTGAAAAATAATGAAAATAATATTTGATTTTTTTAAAATAGAATTACAACGTCCGATTAATATTTTTTTAGCTTCTCACATATAAATATCTAATTTAATATGCCATATTGCATTATTATTCCACAAAACTATGTTATAATGCAAAAGTTTAAATGTAATATGACAAGCAATTAATAGGAGAATAAGAGAGTAAACACGAATGAGGTTGACTACATAAAAAATATCACAAGTGGATCGTTTATAAATAAAGAATCACTCTTTGTACTAATTTAAGAAAAAACCTCAAAATAGTACACGTGGTTAAAGTTTATTTTGAGTATATGTATATTTACTTTGTCAATATTTCATATTAGTGATGATCAATCACATACAGAGCATTTTTTGTAAACTAAAAAAAATTCATCCATAATTTATAAGACAAATCTATATATTAATAAACTTCTCCTTTTGCAAATTTTAGTAAGAACAAAGCTGCTTCGTGTATTATTTGTGTCACAAACATATATAAGTTATTATTTTTAAGACGAGTTGTGTGTGATACCGACAAAAAGAATTCAATGATTTCTTTTCCCATTGTTTGTCGGATGTTTTGGTGAGTTGGTTGTATTTGTGGGCCGATTAACCATTCAAAAGGCACAATAGCAAGAAGGAAAAAAGGACAATAAGTGGGTCGAGTTCTATTAAGTATTGAGAACGATTACGGCACATCCTACTAAGCCAAGCGTTGAGCCTCTAATCCAAGTCGTGATTACAGAAGAATAGAGAAG